ATAAATGAACTTTCTTTTGAATCAATATTGGTTGCAAGGAAAGTTACTGGATTTGGGATCAACAGGTGGCAGCTCGTTACAATAACTGCTTTGAGAATAGAAGGGGAGAAGAAAATGCAAGGGATGAACCTATTAGATGGTATTTTTCTATCTTCCTTCACTGATCCCGCAGTGTAGAGGCAGTTCATTACCAATTTTCATCTTGCCCAAGGAGATGTAGTCATTAAGAACATTGCAACTTGTAGTATCAGTTGAGTGGTTCCATAAGAGAACTGCCAAGTTTCAAAGCCACTCCTTTGCGAAATATTTACTTAACGATGATACAGATGTTATATATTACAAATGTGTTCAAATTATCCAACTTAACAGATCACTAGAAAAAAAATAAAATTATATAGGCACCACATACCTCCTAAGCTGTCAAGGTCTTCAAGAATTCGACCAAACCTAAAATATTACACAGCAATTAATTTGCATGCATGATACAGCACCACACAACAAAGTATTTCATTTTATTTAAAAATAAAAGTAGGCTATTTTTACCTAACAGTGTTTTGCAAATTGAGATATTTTTCTCTTATTTCAGGCTGACTTCCTAAAGGCAAGATGACTTCTATATAACTGTCTTTCATTTTCCTAGGGGGCAGGTCAGCTTGGGTTTTAGCAAGGAGTGTATGTAATGCTTTTCTTTCATTCATTGCTTGCACATGGTCTCTGGAGGAAGGGAAAAGCAAAATCAGATTATCGCAAGTGGGTAAAAACTATCAGGATAGAAGTTAACAGAATGGTAAAACTTGACCAGAATAAGCTGCTGAGAAATAATAGTTAATCTTTGCCACTAGCAGTTTCAGGAAAGTTTCACTTTTTGAGGATAATAGTAACAATGCTGAGTTTTCCAAAAGGCATGTGATTTATTTAGAAAATAATGCCTGTACAATGCAAGTACAGCACCCTTTGATATACCAAACCTCAGTTTATCAGACTTCAGATGCAATGGACAAAATCTGTTTGGCATTTTAGGCATGTGTAAAATCCCATTTGCACTTAATTGGCATTTGCATCTAAAACACTCCCTTTCCCCCCATTAGTTAAATCATGAGTTTACTTTACAGGTAGTCCCCAGTTTAAGAATGAGCTCTGTTCCCAAGGTCTGTCCTTAAGTCAAATCTGTATGTAAGCCAGAATAATATTATTGTATAATATTGTATAAGTAGCACTGTATTCATCATGTAATGAACTCAAACCATTGTGTTTTTAACTCAAATCATTGTGCATTTAACTCAAATTTTGTTACAATAGCCTTCGTTCTTAACTATAGGTCTGGAACTCAGGTGTTCTTAACCCAGGGACTACCTGCATTAGGCAGCTACAGTATGATCAGCACCATTCTTATGGTGGGAAAGGTCATTAATGTTTTGGAAGGATATATTGTAATGCCCTCTTTTACCTTTAAGAAATACAGTTATACCAAAACTGGTTTATATATACCATACCTCCAATTGGTAGATGCTCCCACTATCTCTCTCAATCTACTTCGCACTGAAACAAAATAAAACCCAGTCAGAAATATTTAAGGGAATAAATCTGACCAAGGACTACTACAGTGCTGCACTTTTGAAAAGCAGAAGTATAAGCAGAAGTCATGCAAAGAATGGCTGACAAGCAAAAGGTGGCCAGGTTAATTGCTATTCCCATGAGTGTAAGCATATTTAATAATGAATGGTATGCTTTCTGTTTCTGTAACATTTTAATTTTTTAAAAAATCCAGTTTAGAATTCAAATTTCAGGCTGTCCACTTGTTCACAACCCCGAGTGGCATACAAGGATTAAAACAGAACAAAACAATACAGTTAAAATCATGGAGGACCATAAAACAATATTTGGATATTGTGGCCTACTCTGAGGGTTACCCAGCAAGAAAATTTTCACATTCCAAAACAAATATTCAAATCAGGTCACTGTACATATATATCCATACACATTTTTTTCTGAAACTGCAAGGGAAATTTAAACATGGAGCATGTTTCCATTTCCATAGCTAATAGGATACCACCACACATCTGAAAATGCACATCTAGATTCTATTAAACAAATCAGAGGAGTTTTCTGATGCAGCTAGAAGACTACTGTCTTCAAGTCTCAATTAACTACTTAACATTAACTGCATAATAAACAACTTGTATGTTCTTCTGAAATCTGTAATCTCTTTCTGAAAAGGACTGTAGGCTATCACACACCCCAGCCAGTCTGCTCATTACAGAAAGCTGAAAGTAGGTTCTATCAATTTTCTCCAAGTAAAGACACAGAAAGAATTTTCCCTGTAGTGGGGGCAGCAACCAGATCCCCTCCTGCCCAGACTGTAGGAGGGAGCAATACTAAGGATTGTAAGCACTCATGCAGCACTTGTTGGCAGCTGCTTAAAGTAGCTGCATCTTTCCAGGATGGTGCAAGGAAAAGAAGCATTCCGTTTAAGGAGTTTCTGACAGAAGCTACATGTACATGTACCAGAAGCAACTGTTTTCCTTGTAATTTGAAGCACTGCACAGGCTTAATATTTTTTCCTGCCAACTTTACTTTACCATGGAGAAATACAAGAAGATTCCAAATGGAAAATGAAGTTATCGGATCCCCACGTTAACACTGATGAATAAGGACAAATGCAGAATAAAACCCTTTTTTGGAAACACTCTATGACATGCAGAGTGATCAACTATATTTTACACTATTATTGAGACAGGTGTTGTCTTGAATATATCAAAAACTGCCAGAAGTGTTTCATTAAACCTCCAATAAAGACAGAAAGAGCAGAACAGAGCAGACAAATAGTCATATTAAAATGCATGCAGGTTACCACAACACACCATTATGCACATGAATGGGGAAATGTCCTGTGAAATAATAATAATAAAAAAAAATTAGACTACCGGGGCAATTGTAAAAAAATGGGGGGGAGGGGGAAGTAACTATTATTTTTCAGGTCATTCGCACAAGATAGTATGCTCAAGTACACATTAACATACTCTGCTGTACTGATAACCTATTTCTACTCCAAAATTAAAATCAATGTATTTTCCAGGCAAATTCAGCAAGGCAGAATGCTGACTAGCTGAGCTTACTATTTTCTTCACTCTCCTCATATTCCCATATTTATTTGATTGTGTCATCTAAATCTCTGCTGGAAAGAGAAGTCTGGAATTACCCAGGAAGACCTGGCCAAAACTTATTTAATATAAAGCTTGTCACTAACAGAACACTAAAAAAGAACCCTGATTATTTTATTCTTCTAAATAATTCCACAAATCCTAAGAAATGCCCAATATATTGTGTAGCTTTATTCCTGTGGAAAGGGAACTACAACACAGACAATTACGGCTTTCTGAATATGCTAACTATACTATTTACATTACCTTCTTCCATGTTCTGAAAAACCTGGGATCCACTGCTGGATGAAGTCAGCATCCTAATCAGGAAAGTATGGGCCTTGCTTAATGAAAACCATCTGCATCAAAAGGAAAATAAAGCATTGTCAATAACACTAGAGTAGCACTGGACTCCTTAATCCTAGATTCAAGATCAATACACTGAATAGAACAATCTTCCTCTATTTTAGTATCCTCCATATATATTAGGATTACAACCCCAAAATTCTCATCCAGGGTCACCCCTGGAACCCCTTATGCAGGTAATATGCAAAATAAGTTGCTTAAACAGGTACGCTGATGAAAAACATCAGCTACAACGGCAGAACCGTTTCAAAAGGGCGATCATCATAGGCTGTGCATAGGAACACCCATACAGAACCCCATAACCTATTTAATCCATGTCCACATATAGTCAGTTGCATAACACATGCATAAAGAATTTGCTTTCCAATTACTGAGAGGGGGAAAATATTTCAAATGCTATCCAGGCAAATATAATGATCCAAATCAGTTTTTCATTTGCACATGGAGAAAGAAATGAGATGAGATGGCATACGGCACACAACTGTATCCCTCTGGCTTCATATGACACATGCTTAGAGTTCACAAGAATCTTTGCACAAAGAGGCTATTTCCCGAATACTCCTAGGAACTTGTGCACTTGTGCACTACTCTTTCCAGAATCATTATAAATAAGCCTCTCTGAGACTTCATCTGACACCAAACTCCATTCCTGTAATTCAGATTGTTGGCCCAAAGCAATCCACCTAGTTAAACAGGGAGAAGGCTTTGACTATTCTTCAACCCATCCCACCCGATCACACAGAGAGGGCATGCTTCGGACCCTCTCAGTGAAAGAACTTCGACTGGCGGGGTCCGGAAGGCGGGCCTTCTCTGCGGTAGCCCCTGCTCTTTGGAACATTCTGCCCCCGGAGGTGCAATTAGCCCCCACACTCCTGGCCTTCCGTAAGGCTAAGACCTGGTTCTGCCATCTGGCCTGGGGTGGGGTGAGAGTACAAGATTGGGGATGGCTAACCCCATAGATGCCTCTGCCTTCAACCTCAGGTTTTTCATCCTCTTGGTCTCTCCTTCTTTTTAGTAATGTTTTTAATTAAGGTTTTATGTATTTATATATTTTATGTTTTTAATGTTTGTTGTGAATCGCCCAGAGTTCCCCCATTGGGGGGAGATAGGCGGTTGAAAAATTCAATAAATACATACATACATACATACATACACACATACATACATAAATAAATAAAATTTACTTCCACTACTTTGCTATATGCAATTTTGTAGCTATTTCCCACTATTGGATTAAATAATCACCCATCTTCCTTGAGCTGGCCAAAAATATTGCCACTCCAAATTTGCCCAAATTATCTCCTCCATCCTGGCCCTGTAACATCTATGGTGGCTTTGTGCCAAACTTCGTTGTCCTCACTAGTCAGTGTGCTTATACACTCCTTCATTTGCCTCTCTTTCTCTCTGGTGTTGTCGCACATCTTTTTTGTCAGATTCACATATTGAGAAAAACATACAAAAATCAGAATTCCGTAACAAGGAAAACTAGGGCTGTTTTTTACCCTGATCCCATGTTAGCCTTTAAACAAATCCATTTCTGCCTTCTGTTCCTTTCTTCTCTTCCTAATGTTATTTTACGGGATCATAGTATGAGATATTTTTTAAAAGAGTTTTTAGTTGAAAGTTGAAACTTACTAGATTGTAATAATGAAAACCATTGAAATTTGCAAGGAGTCTTGGGCATGTGTAAATATTTCTCTATCCCTGTCCCTACATTAATCACTTTTATAATTACCACTTTTCTGGAATGTATTGCATTGGGCTGTTGGGCTTTTATGACCCCTGGTGGGTCAACAGGGTTTATATATAGCTAAATATCTGAATAGATTGATAAAAGAATAAACAGAATGAGAGCAGAATCCTGAGAAGGCCAATAATCACAAGAAAAATAGCAGTGATGGATGTTGGGCAGTGACCAAAGAGAATGGGCACGGTCATACTTCTAGATTCATACCACATTTATGCCAACCTCCAGAGGCTGGTCACTTGATGCCCTCAAAAGAGGCTGAAAAGTAGCAAATATTTATACACCTAGTTGCATGCATGCATAAATAAATAAAATCAAAACACAAAGGGATGATAGAAGACTGGTTCCATATTGGGTTGGGACCTGAATAAGGCTACCTCTATATGATCCAAGTGGAGCACTGGGATATAGGATGTCAAATTAAACTGCAAAGGACCTGTGTCTTGTCTGAAGTATATTGTCCCTATATTTTTCTACCCCCATGGCTTGCAGCTCTACTTCTGTGACCATCTCCCAATTTTGCATTAGGAGTGCAAATGTACGATGCATTTGCCGTACCAAATGTATGGTAAGCAAAGGAAAATTTGCAACTCTTCCATTTCTAAATATGGAATAATATTTCTAAATATCTCAGAACACACTAAGTAACAAACCACAATTCCCATTTTCACATACCATGCTAATTCAAAATAAACCAACTACACTACAGCTTAACATAAACCCTGTTTCAGACAATATGTTTGGTTTTGCCTTAGCCATGGTGGGTTGTAAGCCATAGTTTACGGAATTATTTCATTATTATTTATTTCACAAAGTCAGTGAAGCCTCCTACAACTGAAGGAAGCAAGATTGGGGAAGGAAACACTGCAGAGTGCCATCGACGTCTGCGGAGGGGGCTGTAATAAATCTAACGCTCCGGAATACAGCAAATCCTGTTGTGCTGTGCTGGTCGGTCAGCGAAAAGAAGGCCAAAATGAGGCGCAAATCCACAACAACGTTCAGGAGCCAAGCGGCGGCTTTTCTCCACCCAGCGTTTTCCTCAGACTGCGCAAGTCGAAGGGCTCTAGGCCCACGAAGAAAAGCGAGGGCGGGCTTTGTCTTTTGGAAACGATTCGCTTTGCGATCCGATTATAGAAAGAGAGCCGCCGTCTTAGATCTTTTCTTCGCTCTGGACCCACCTGGCTTGTTGCAAAGGAAGAATCAGGGGCAGCCCTGAAGTTGCTGGAAATCGCTTACCTGCGCGACAGCATTTTGCTCCTCGTAGCGACCGCTCAGCGCCTTCCTCCGAGACCAAAAATCCGCTGCTTGGCGCTTTTCGCTACAGCCGCACCGTAAGCCGCGGGTGCCGCCTGCCAGCGACCACGCCTGGAACAGGAACTTGGCTGCGCGGCTAGACCGGCTCCGATTGTCCTGCGCTTCGGGAAGGCTTCATGGTCTTCCCTCCTACCAGATACACTGACGCGTTCCTTTCCCAAAGAGGATGCACGCTCGGCCCTTACTTGAGTGTGGAACTCCAGCTCTTGTTTTCACGATCAGCCAGGCTAGTATTCTTTCCATCAGTCGTGTTTGGGCCACACAAGACTGTTCAAAGGCCTTTCTTGGGCGGGGCGGGGTGGGGTGGGGGGGTTGTCCTCTGAGTACTGGGCTCTGTTCCCTTTTTGCCCACCACTAGTCTTAAAATCTCACGTCCAAAAAACACTTGCTTTCTGCAGACATAATCAGTAGGGGTGATATCCTTGATGTAATTATGGTGTGGGTTTATAAATTCTCAGAGGTAACTGCCAACCATCAATCAATAACCCTAACCCTAGCCCATTTGGTGGGGAAAAATATGTGAGAGAGCCAAATTAAGTGGATGTAATCGATTGGTGTGTGAAACTCACTGATGGGCAAAAGCTTTTGGATGGGCAAAAAAGGAAGAACAACCGAAGACGGGGAGGGGGCGGAGGCTTGTACTTACATGATGTCATGGGATGGTGGGGCAAATATTTTGAGGAGATGAAATGAATGCCTTAAACCTTGCAGAGGATCAGATCATTTTTTTTTCCATTAAAGCCTCTTCAACAAATCTCAGAACTTTTATGAGGTTTAAAGCATCTATTTTAATTCTCAACACCTCAAAAAGAAAAAAAGAAAAACTGGTCTTGCTTACTTGGGGGAGATTTGGGGGGAGATGCCCACATCTGCATATTGTAAATTTGTCCTATGTTGGGAAAACTAAATTGGGCAAAACTGATATTCTGTTTCCAGAAGACATCTTAGATAAACTCGTTTTTCACAATTATTTATTTATCTTCATTTTCATTTAGAGATAGGATCAATGTGAAAATAGGTTTAGCCACTGCATAGTTAGTTTGCTTTGCAGGCTGGATCTCTAACATCAGAGATATAATTGATTGGGAGAAGCAACAATGCAACTGAAGAGATTGGTTTTCTCTTTGTTATATTCTTTTAAAAGGGTAAGACTGTTCCCCTTTTCCCAAATAAACTTTTTTATACTTAGAGATTGGCTATATTATTTTTAAAAACAAAAGATCTTATTACTCATGTACAGCACTGTATTGCTACCTAATTATTAAATTGGTTAAGTATGTCCTGGCTTTGCCCTCTTAGCTTTCTGATGGCTGTTTGCTATTTCCTGAATCATAGACTAGGGGCTTTCCAACTTTTTCAGGCTCCAGAATCCATTCGTTTAAAAAAACAAAAACAAAAAAATCTCAGAACTGCTAATCAAGAGGCAAAGTTCTAGTGCTGGCTGTGTTCAAGTGATTTTTTTTTATTTTTTTTGCCATTAGTCTCTCACAGAACCCCTTCAAGTTCTCATGGAACCATAGGTTCCATGGAGCACTGTTTGAAGAACCCTGTCATAGACAGTATGCCTTAAGTATTACTGTGATGGGAGTGTCCTTTTCCAATCCAGGTGTGTGAGTTTCCCAGTGCTTCCAGTGACATAGTGCTAGACTAGATAGGCCACAGGCCTAATCTGCAGGGTTCTTAAGCACATAGAGCAATGTTGTCCAAACTTGGCCACTTTAAGATGAGTGGACTTCAACTCCCAGAATTCCCCAGCCAGCCATGCTAGCCAGCCAAGTTTGGACAACACTGACATAGATAGATTTTCTCCAAGAGTTAATGTACAGCAGGCCCAAAATATATGAGGCAGACTTGTACAAACACTTTACACTTCCAATATACAAATATTGGCTGTGGAAAAATATTCCAATATACAAATA